TTTATAGAGATTCCTCATTGAAATGCTGTTTCAAATACATAATTACCTTTCCTCCAACACAGCAGACATTCCTTACTAAAAAAAACTCAGCTATTTCTCTTGAGCATCCATGGTCATCTGTGCATCTACCTTAACATACCTGCAGTGCTCACTGCCATAACAGACTGCAAAGGTGCTACAGCTTTCTATCTGTGTGTCAGCTTCATCCAGGAATTCAGCAAGCACTTTAAGGTCCCATCATCTCTGACCAACAAGTTACTTCAGTCTCTGTGTCACTGACACATCCCAGACACAATTTTGTTTTCTATACATCCAAATGCCAGATGTTTACAACAGTTGTTCCTGTTGTAGCGAACACAGAGTACTTCATGATATTAACAATTGAAAGAATAAATCTCTCAGAAATCTCTCTCAATAAAGCACAGACACCATTTTCTCCTGACATTCCCTTTAAAAACTAAAAATAAGAATTCCACAAACAACTTATTAGACACAATCCTGGTACCATTAGCTGTTCTGTTGGCAAGGAGGATTTGGAAATGACAAAATATATGTGTGACTCAAAATTAGTAACTGAGCTTGGTGAGCAGAAGCAGAAAATCAATGCCTTTTTGGCAGCTTTTGTCAGAGGCAATAAGTCACAAATGCTCGCAAGATAATCAGAAGAATCATTACATTTGACTGGTGAGCTAGCTAATCACAAGATCCTAGAGGACAAGGTAGGAAGACAGCAATGTAAGAAAGATTCTGATGCTCACACCAGCAGTGAGACACATTCCTCTCTGCTTACTTCTTCACACAGAAAACCTTTTACCAGTACAGGATGTTACTCATAAGTAGGAACAAATTTATTTTCAAGTAAATTTACCTACAAAGAACAAATACAGACTAAATTTATTTCAAGATCCATCATACACACAAGTCTTCGAGACATCCTCTTGTACCTCAAGTTTCCGAAGCATACCAACAACCTAACCACTGTATCTTAGAATATCTCTGTGATATTTCTTGTCAACTACCTATGAAGAAACATAACTTTTCTTCTAATACAAACCTGGGAGCCTTATGCTTTCCAGCTGACCCAAAGCCACTGAAAGCTGAATTGTTTCTCCTGAAAGAGGAATGCCACAAATGGGCATCAATTATGTTGTCTTCCTTACAATAACAAACAAAAAAACAACCAAACAAAAAACAAACACCACGCACAAAACCCCACCAAACTCATTAGATTTACTTTGTGCTAGGATGCCTAGAGTATGTCACTTCAGGACAGCCACACAGAGTCCTCAGACAACAAACTCCAGTCATCCACATCCTCCTGTTTGCATAAAGATCTTGCTGGCCTTTGCACAAGATAGGAATTACATTTGTATTTGGATGACTAGCTCTTGAACATTTACTCTTATGTTGCTAATATGCATCAACACATCCTTTATATTTATCTGCCTTTTTTTGTTTAACGTAACACTGTGCTGCTACCAGAAAGACAGATCTCAGTCTTTCTTGAACTTTGAGAGAGATGATTTCCTCTGGAAGAATGCAGTAAGAATTTTGCTTCCACAACACACACAAAAAAGAACTAAATACCCTTCTCAAGAGCTTTGGGAAGTTTACAACAATAAATCATTAATGCACTCAACTTATTTCACCAAGAAAATTTGCACAGGTTAAAAAAAAAAAACAAAAAAACATTGAATATTCCATGTGCAAAATACCAACTTTTCTCTGGAATTCACAGATGAGGACTTTTACACACAGCTGGTTATGACTTTATGCTATAAACAGGCTGCAAGTATCAGGGACACTAAACAGAAGCAGCTTCATTGGTGTATGCATACCTTCAAGAAGCAACATAAAGGAAAGAAACAGCATACCACATTTCATTCTGTATACCAAAGTAGCTCCTACAGGGAATGAATGACTCAAAGGAGTATTCTCATTGGACACTCCGTTGCTCTCAGGAGTTTAGATTCTATATTTTCCTCACTGCTCAAAAATTAACAAACACACTCTCAAATAGTGAAATTCTCTCCTAGTATTTCTACTAGAAGTCTGCACACTCAACCTCTCTGTACCCCAAATATACAGCACTTAATATGGAAAAACAGGCATCTATCTCCCAGGTGTACCTTTCTAAGCAAATGTTTTCCTCTGTTTGAGCAAGATTGGTATTTGACTTTTGTGAATAGCAATACAACAGGCATCCACTGGAATGATTTCCTAACCACATCTGGTAGCACTCACCCCTTTCTGTCTACATGAATGTAGCACTGAAGAAGATATGAAGATATTCCCCAGCATATAAAAGAAAAATTACACTCCAGTCTTTGACTCACCCACCATTCTAGGAGCTATCCCACCAATTCAATATAGTAATATTCAGCTTACTGAATAACTATCGGACAGGTCCTCACACCAGAATCAACAAATGCTTAAACTCTAACCTCTCAAACACTGTTTATTATACATGCTCAGTAATTACCATAGAATTTTGGAGAAGACAAATATAATTAAGAATCCCATGGCATCATAGCTGATGAAACTCCAGTGTGTGGATATCGTGTGGATTTTTCCAAAGAAATCAAAGTAAATCCAGTATAAAAGATGCAATGGACATGACACTGTCATTTTATTGTAAGTTTGGGTACTGGTCAACAAGATCAATTCAAAATGGCTAGGAGAGATATGTGCTTTGGCTTTTCAGTGTTTTGTGTCCTGCAAAAAATGCAGTTTCTTGCTGATAACGCGCTTTCCCAATTGATTAACTTAATCATTAGGCTTCTTTTGAGACTTGAGAAGAAAATCCCTTAGTTTTGCTTAGCCAAGGGCAAACGGAAAATTATAGCCAATCCCAAAAGAGCTATCAGTTCATGCTTTAAGCTCTCCAAGTCAATTGCTCATGAGATGCAAGCTTTAGGATCAAATCCTAAGAGAACTCAGTATCCTTCTTTATCCATCCCAGGAACATGGTCTTGCCTGTGAAGAACAAAGAAACCAATCCAAAACAGAATGGGTTCATGCCTGTGGCATACCTGGGATCTCTAAAGACTCAGCTCAGATCACAGTCCTGTTGTTCAAGCAATGGTGTATCTGAAGATGCAAAATCTCTTCACGTTAGTCAATACAATTAGGAATGCAACGCTAATAAGCAGTCACCAGATGTCCCCACATCTTAAGGGACTCAGCAGATCAAGTGGTACGAAAGGAACAGAAGCTTTCTTTTATTTAGTTTCAGATCCAAAACAAAAGCAAATGCAACTTAGCAACAAAGACAACAAACCATTAAATATCTTAATGTATGCATATTTACTAAAGAGTTTGGACTGGTGACTGTCCAATTTGTCTCTCTCAGCCAGGTGGCTGCTGCTACCTCTCTTTTCTCACTTCCCATCCCAAGCCATCTTAGTTCTCAGCACCTACATAGGAACCATGTCCCTGGAAGTGACTGCAGCTTTGCTTGCCAGGACTCTCACAGTTCTTGTGCAAACATACTTCGACGCTCACATGTTCCACAAATACCCAATCTTATAAATCTGACCTCTTAGATTAAAGCTTCCTTATTCCCTTTGTGAATTTGAGTTTCAGCACTTACGTTGCAAGCTATCACTGAGGAGATCTTGATTTTGCCTTTAGTGCAAGGCGGGACACAAGCAACAAACATTCTGTCAAAAGTGCAATACCAACTTCAGCAATCTCACAGCCAGTTCTAAAATGGTAGTAAAAGTGTTGGGAATACGTCAAAACACAGATTCCCACAACGTCACTGTCCGTAGAGTTAAAAAAAAACAAACAAACACAGAAAAGGTATAGGCAATACACATTCTCCTTAGTCAAGAGGGACAGTAATACTAGCCCCAAAAACATCAGTGGTTGTTTTTATCGTATTCAGTAGCATCCTCTCTTTCAAATCCTGCTGGAAAGAGTACTGCCAGTGTCACATAGACCCAAGATCCCTCTCTGGTACTACCCAATAAAATGCCAGACATTTCGCCCACTGGGCTGTCATAGTGTCCACAAGTCCTAGTCATGTTTGATGTTAAAATAAATAAAGTGAAGAGTTTATCTGAATAGCAATGTCACATCCTCTCCAGCAATGCCTACAGGGCAAAGCAGCTACCACATCTTCCCATCAGCTATGCATGGATCAGTGGCAAGCAGTGCCTAAACCTTCAGTTGTACAAAACCACTTCCTTTTAGCAGCAAGGACCAGCAGCCCACAATCTCCTCACTGCCACAACAGGCCTACAAGGCACACACAAGAAATCCAGCCAATGCACATATGTACACTAAAACTCAAACTTTCAAAACCGTTGGTTCCCTAAGTGCTCACTACATAATGTATTCACACACATTTGCTGACCCATGTTGTTACAGGAAGAGAAAGAGGCCAGGACTTGGCTGCTGCTACCAGCCCAATTCATGCATGCTGCTCCATACATTTTTCTTCCCAAGAGATGCTCTGCACAGCCTCCAGAGAGAGAGAGAGAGAGCACGCCAGGGCTAGGCCATGAGGCACATGGACAGTTTTCCCCATTCCTAAACAAGGACCAAGGACACAATCTACTCTAGACTGGAAACCTTCAAGAATAAATCCTGATTTCAAGTAACTGAATCCAAGAGCACGTAGCTTTAGTCTGGGACAGTAACACACAAGTGTTTCTAAGAACCTAGAACAAAACTAGAGACTGTAGTCTGCAACATACTAGCACATCCTTTCAACCAAATGGTATTGGCCATCCGGGAAACCTGGAGTCGCCCTGTCTGCACAGTAGATGGTTCTACTACAGAGATCATTACTAGCACATCTCTAATTCATACATCAGTAGAAGGTTGGAAATAATCATGAAATACAAAAACAGTACAGTTTAAAACAAAGGCAAGGTAGCAAAAAACATGGATGGAAACAAGCTTCAGCAGGAACCTCAAGATACACAACGCAATACTCTATTAGGCACACACACAGAAAAAAGGGCCTTTAAAAACAGAGAAGAAACAGTCACCTTTTAAAAGGGGCTGGAACGTCGGAATTTCCTGCAGTTTTATGACATCTGGATCATTGCTCACGTTCCGTGAAGACTGCGTTCCTGGGGCTACCACCACAATGTCATCCATTTTTGCTCGTTGTTTAGCTGGGGATGGAGATGCTGGAAAAACAAAGGGAGAAAGGATAAGAAACAATCAAGTTAATAAATAGATTCCATCTGAATTTAACCCTATGAGAACGATATCACATTTAATGCTGTGCAAGTATGTTTTCTATAACAAATCTCTGAAACCACAGGCTGTCCCTCCCTTCTCATTCTCTCTCTGGTAATGTACACACTTCATTCAACAAAGTTTTTCAGAAGGAGACAACAGAATGCTAAGGATGTGCTGCCTTCTGACTCTAGGGATAACCTTACATGTTTGCCATGAAGGCAGAAGGCAAAAACTAACAAAGGTTTTATTTGTCATTGTTATGCTGCAGCAGTAATGCTCTCTTATCGTTTTAGATACCTTTATAGGAAAGATTTACCTCAATAACTTAAATTCAAATACATTTGGAGCTCTTACTGTAGTGTTACACAGTCGTTATCGTTCACATTCAGGTACTTTGATGGGCCCTGGGCAGCCTGGTCTAGTATTAAATGTGGAGGCTGGTGGCCCTGCATGTGGCAGGGGGGGGTTGGAGATTCACAATCCTTGAGGCCCCTTCCAACCCTGGCCATTCTGTGATTTTATTTTTTTCCCCCTAACTCAGAGGGCAGTGAGGCACTGGCACAGGCTGCCCACAGAAGTTGTGGATGCCCCAACTTTGCAGGCATTCAAGGCCAAGCTAGATAGGGCTCTGGGCAACCTAATCTAGTGGTTGACAACCTTGCCAACAGCAGGAGTGGTGGAACTTGATGAACTTTAAGGTCACTTAAAACTTTAAGGTCACCCAAGCCTCTATGATTCTATGATCCCTCCCACTTCTCCCCACCGAGGTCAGCATCCTCACACCCACCGGACCCAGCACCCCACCTAGCAGCGAGGCGCCCACCGTGGCTCCCATTCGCATCTGCCATTCCTGCTGCACCTCCTTCCCCAGCACGCATCTATCAGTCAGTACTACCAGAGGTCACGACTCCTGCGCCTCGTCCTGCAGCAACACCAGCACCCAAACCCTCCCCCACCCCACCCCACAGCCTCCTCCGCCCCTACAGCACCGCTGAGCCCCTCCCGCACGTACTCGGCCCCGTAGCTTCCCTACAGCCCCGGCCCAGCGGGGCAGCTGGGCAGCCGCCGCCACCGACCTGAGGCGCTGGTCTCGCCCGGGCGGCTCTCGGCCTCCGCGCTCTGCTCCGCTCCCATGGCGACACCAACGGCGCTCGCAATGCAACGCGCTGCGCCGACTCCCTTCCTGCCCGCCACCCTGCAACGCAGGGCCACGCTGCCCCCACAGCCGCCCGGGATTCCGGCTGGGCCGGCTAGCCTCCGCGCCAGGAGCGGGCCCCGCCCGGCGTGGCGCGGCAAGCAGGCGGAGCTCTGCTTAAAGGCGCCGGGCGAGGCGCTGCCGCTGCTCGCAGTGCGCGGGGCGGGGCGGAGTCTGGTGCTCGGCCCTGGGGCGGATTTACTGGTGGGGAGCGGGGCTCACAGCGCCCTCTGCTCCCCTTAGGCCCGCTTCTGCTTGCCCTGTCTGGCCTCCCTGAGAGTAAGGGGTTGGGGGAGATAGTGCTAATCTAGATTTTTAATTATCAGCACTGATATTCATGGCAATCAAAGGCAAGGCTGCAAAACACCCCAGCTATCCCAAACCACCCAATAATAGCACGTGCTCAGTCAGGTCATACTGTTCTCCTATGTCATTTTTTTCTCACCTTTTGAAAGCTAAAGCATGTTGGTTGATGATAGGTAACCAACCAGCTAGCAGCATGCAAAGAAGCCACATACTTACCTCTGACAGAAGAATTGCCCACAAATAAGTTCTGGCACATGCTAACTTCTAAACGAGTCTGCTCTCCACTCCTGAACGATGCACAACATCTGTCCAAGTCTTAACCTCAACCGCGAATGCATTACCTCTCCTGGCTGCCTTCACTAATTCTTGCCAAGATTTAATTTAATATAAAAATCCCCCTCCTGTCTTGTGAGAACTGCACATCTGTTACCTACATGTGGGCTGCAGAGAAAAAAGCTCCGTCCAGCACCTCTTCTGGCAGCTGCAGGCTATGCTTCACTAGCTGTAACCCAACAACACATCTTTTAGCTACAACTGCTTAATTCCTGCCAAAACAACAACTAAATATTTTCAAATAAATGTGATTACTAGGAAGGAGAACAAACTGTTGTTGGCACGACCCTGTTTAGAAAGCTGAGTTCTGAACCTGCACTATTCACACACAGTATTAAAGTCATCCATGAGTAGCTTCAGTGGCAGTATTCAAAGGCAGCATGTAATGTCTGCAGAGCTGCAACCCCACCAGTGCTTGCCATAAAGGCATGCAAAGTTATCCATCACTCTCAGACAGATTAGCTAAATTTAATGCAGCATATTTAGCTTGCAGTTAGCTTCATTTCCACTTTTATGTTACAGACTTCTGAGTGTTTTGTCAAGCACACTTTGCAGCTCCCCTGTTTTGTGCTTTTGTTTATTATTGTAGTTGTGTGAATATGTAGTATCTTACTGCCCCTGGAAAATATTTATGATCCACAATTCTGATATTTAGCTTACCTATCAACCAATGTGTGTTTCTGCTATATAAAGTTTTATTATTGAAAACATTATTACAGTAAAGTTATATTTGAATGTAGTTGTCATGCAAATTAATTATTTTGCCCCCAGTGTGGCAAAACAAATCCTCTGCCGTGTCCTGCAACTGTCCTGCAACAGCTAGGTCAGTGTACCTGAAACTACACAGTGTGCAGTTGTATGTGGTTACATTAACGCATACAAATCTGATGTTTATCTGGCCATGATCCATACAACATAAGGGCCTTGGCAAATATCTAGTTATTATTGGTTTTGTTTGTCCTTTATTACTTTATATATTCAGTGTTTGACAGGAATAGATTACTTGAAACTGAATGGTGTTTTAATTGTGTAACTAGTAGTAGTGTCACTTTTAACATATATGCCCCTATAAAAGTCAACTCCCAGCTGAATGAGTATGAAGAATAAAGTTGCTGACCATTCTCTGACATGGGCCTTGATTTTTGAAACAGCACAGAAGGCAGCAAGTCAGTGTGAAGCAGAATATGCTGCTGCTGCCAGCGCACCTTCTCCAAGTGGGGATCTCAAACATGCCTTGGAAAAGCAAAAAATCCTCACTGAATTTTACAGACATTTAACCTGTGTCCCAGAGGTTTAAGTTTATTGTATTAAAGCAGAGAGTAGGTGACCAAAAGAGAAACGATCAGACTGTTATCATTTTGTTTTACAATTGCTGTGTGAAATAACCTGCTCTCTGGTAACTGTTCATGTAATGGACTGCCTCAAAAGGAACAAACATTTTATTTACAATCATAGCAATGATATTGTAGGTATGATGCAGGATGAGATACCTGAAGAAGAAGGAATATGTAGCACAGTTCTTTTGTTGCTTCCTTTCATTCCTTACTCTGTGGGCCACTTCTATGCCTGAACACTGCTCTGATGGAGGTGGGGGGCCCAGGAGAGGGGAAGAGGGAAAAAAATAAGGGGAAAAAAAAAAAAGAAAAAAGAGGAACCGAAAATTTTCAAAGTACAAACATGAGTTAAGCAAACACTACCAATAAGGCTGCTCAGGAAGGAACGCCGCACTTGTCAGGCAGCACTGCCAGCACGTAGCCCTTGCTGCACGGCTCCCATTCAGCAAACGCCGCCTACCTTTGCTATGGTTTGAACAGGATTACTCAGGTAGCCAAGACAGTCTTACACAAGCACTGAAGTACGCACGAATACATTTAGACCAGAATATGCATATGAATTGCTTTTGCTACAGTCTCAAGGACGGCTCTCACCGCGGCTTTGAGTAAAACCCCACCGACACCCGACCCTTCGACCAGCGGGAGCCGCGAGCCCACGGCAGCAAGGCGGTGCCGGGCCGCCCCGCCCCTTGTCCCGGACGCGTGGCAGCCGGCGGCCCAGGCGCGGGCGGGCAGCGGGAGTGGCGGGAGTGGCGCCCGCGGGAGGGCGGGCAGGTGGCCATGGCTGTGCGCGGTCTCCCGCTCTGCCTGCTGGCCGTCAGCTGCGCGATGCCTGCGCCGAGCCTGGGCCAGGGCTGTGCCGCGCAGCGAATGGACAACGCCATCATCGATATCAACTTGTCTCTCCCCATGGGTATCCGAGGTGCGGAACCAGTGCACGTTTCAACACCAGAGGCTTGCATACATGCCTGCTGCTTGGGAAAAAAGCTGTCAGGTAACCGAATTCTCTCCGGCCTTTTCTGTTACTGCTTATGAACATTGAGGAGATTACTTACAGAATTGCCCGGGCTCGCATAGGAAAGGGGCGAGGGACGAGGGACTCTGCTGTGCTCAGGACCAAAATGTTCATTTCTCTGCCACTTACACTGCCAGTAGTTGTGGCATGCGGCTGCTGCCTGTCCCGGCCTAATGTGATGCCAGAGTGTTGATATCAGTGTGTTCCAGAAAGTAAGTGCGGTACAGTGGAGGTAGCTTTGAGTATTAAAGCCACTCAGACCTGCATGCATCGCTTCAGCAGACACACTACAAAGTAACACTGGTTTTAGCCAGAAATGAAAATGCTTTCACTGCCCTGGAACTGCTGATTTTTGTCAGGCTTTTAGAGTGGTAGGAGATAAAGCAGCAAGCAGAAATGACAATGTATAAAAGTTACCCATAACTGATGGAAAAAGTGCATATCCACAGATACATTGAGGAAATTTTCAGATTTATCGGGATTCATAAACAAAAAAAATCATTATATAAAGTGCTGCCAGCATGGTGTGGGTGAGGGGAGAATAAGAGGTTAGACTCGTTATTTCCACATATTCATCTGTACAGGAAGAGGAAGGTGTAACCTTTCATATGCTGGCCTTCAGCCATTCTTCTGCAGTCCTGTGTTGTTTTTCCCACAGGAATGCTAGATGTAGGTAGTTTTTCTCTTACTTGTGGAAGGAAAACCAGAATTTTTTACTTTTTAGCAAACCAGAATTTATTATCAAGATGCTATAGAAGTTCTTGTTACTGAAATGTGTGTATGTTCTTTTGCAGGAGACAAGAAATGTAACTTTGTGATTTTTGATGCTCAAAGGACAAGCACACAACCAAACTGCTACTTGTTTTATTGCCCTAGCACAGAGGCTTGTCCTATGAAACCTGCAATGGGGCTTGTGAGCTACAAGATAGCTCAAGGTAAGTATGTGTAACAGTAAAAGCCACAAATCCCCACACTGCATTATCCCCCATGACTTTTCAGCAGTGGCTAGATAATGGTTCAGAGTTGCATCTTTAGTAAAACGTTTTAAACCAAGTGCTCTAATTTGAAAATACTATTCTTGTGCTTTGTGGGAGGTGGTTAGGCAAGTGTGTGGTCTGCATCTACACAGGCCTAACCATTATGAAATTCCTTCACATAAAATTCTGAACTCCTCATAGTTTTCCTTTGTTTAAAACAAAAAAAAAGAAGCTTTATCCATCTCAGTGTATTCTGTCCATGGAAAATTTCTAGTACATAACATGTAAGGGCATTGTTGAAAGCAATAGAAATATGATGCCCTTGTAGCCATCTGTGCATTCAAAGGATTCATGCAACTCTGATAAATACCATATATACACAGATGTTAGGCAAGCCTCAGAGCACCGCTGGGATGTTAGTGAGTAATTGATGATAATAATCATTATTTTCTGTTTTCAGTTACGGAACCTGAGGCACAGATGCAAACTGGCTAATCTCAAAGCTTTATGGCATTTGGGCTTTGCAGTCACAACTTTCTCACTGCCTGTCACGTGCTGTAGCATTTTTAATAGCAAGACTTACTTACTGATTGGCACTGATTTGCACCAGACCTGTTTGAACATAAAGAATGCAGAGAAAGAAGGAAGACTTAATTGTGATTGAGCTTTTGTCATGCAGATAGTGTAATGCTCAGTTAATGCTAATCATAAAGGTGATGTTAGCTTATTTACCTTAGGTTCCTGGTAAGCATACAAAGGTAGCAGCACATGGTGGTGTTGGTACTGACAAACATTTGAAGCTTTGTGTGTTTTTTCTGTTTGTTGTTGTTGTTGTTTCAATATATGAGAATCTTCATGTGATTACATAGAACTAAACTATGTTCTACATACTAAACTAAAAGGATAAATATATTCTGTTGCTAAAAAATACACTGAAATAGTGAAATTGTGTTAGTAACAAAATTGCTTATGTTGTTGGTTTGTTGGTTTTGGTTTGTTTTTTGTTTGTTTGATTTTAAACTATTCTTGTAGCTTGTTAACTACTGGAAACAACCTCTGTCTTGGGAAGTAAAGCATTTCCTGATTCCTATCGCAAATAGTGATTGCTGAAAAAGAAATAATGTCTGCTTTTTTGCTGTACTTCTGCGGAGTTTGCTTTTTCCACTGCACTGAGATAGCCACATAGAACTGATGAATGCAATCCATGTATGCTCAGGGGGTGTTTATTTGTTTTTTGAGATTGACAGTTTGAGGTTTGGTTTCTAATGCAGTTCATTGGATTTGAGATATCAACAGGACCACTTTGTTTTTTTAATTTCTTTTTAAAGGTTGTCTTCTGTAATGTTCTTTCTTTTGTTCTTTTGTTCTTTCTTGCCAACAAGTGTATCTGTTCTAGTGCCACAGCTGCACCTAGCACAGTAGTTATGGGCAGTTGTGTTTGGGAGCATATAATCTAAAATGAAGACCAAGACTACAGTTAGTTTAAAGCTGAAAATAAAGTAGTGTTAGTAAAACAAGGCAGTTACGTTAATTAATCTCAGTGCTGCAGGGAAGCAGATACTTAACTCCTGTGCAGGACTCATCACTGGCTTGCCTCCATATTTTGCCCTTTGAACCCTGCATGAATACTGCCCATTTTCCTAGCTGTAGCTGAGGCGAGTGAGCTGAAGATGACATAGCACACTGCAAATGATTGTCACACTGCATCAATTATTTATTTAAATGCATGGAGGAGGCTATCGGAGTGCACTGGGAACAAGGAAAAATGTGTTGGTGACTGACTCAGTGGTTGTGACAGGCCATTTCCTCAGTGCTGTGGAAACGTGTTCAGAACTGCAGACTGCAGCTGAGAGTTTGGCTGTCTTTTGCCATACAGCTTCTGTGATTATGTAGTGCCTGAACACTGTTATTTGTCAGCTTATTCCTTTACTTTGCTAACAAACTAGGGACGGTTAGGATAAAAATTGGTGTCTATAGTTCAAGTTGCTGTCCTCTTATTTAAAGCATTGCCCTTTTTTGTTTGTTTTTCACTTCAGTTTTTGGAAGAATTTAGGGCTTGCAAATATATCTTCTGACAGCAGCCTGTTAGATTTCTTTGCATGTATTATAAGCCTGAAATAAATTAATTCCTTTAGATATGAGTTTCTACTTGAGAAAGAAGTGACAACGAAAATCTTAAATTCTTTGGCTAAGTACTTTGACCAGAAATGTATTTTGCAAACTCAGCAGGGCTGATCTCCTGCTCTGTATGATACATTTGTAGGAATACCAACAATTTCTTACAGTTGAGAAAGAAAAATCTCACAAAAATTAGGAACTCCTTCTTCCTTCCACTGTAAATAGAAGCTCCAAGGACACCTCATCTGTGTCGTAAAATATCAGAATGTTGCAGACATGTGAAATCTAAGGAGTAGAGAACTTGCAGATGCCAGGAGGCCTTGGACCTCAAGAGACTTGTCATCAAAATGTCTAAACTGCCCTTGTTTTTTCAAGTGATTCTGGAAAAGTCACTTAGTTTCCCTCCACTCAGATGGGGATACTATTACCACCTGTTATCATAAAGCAATTCCTATATGTGAAGTGAATCCTATTAAGCAGTCACGGGATGTTTGTTTTTGGCTGTATAGAAGTACGTACATCTGTCAGAAGCAAGGTTGATTGTATCTTCTTAATTTGACAGAGACTGGAATAGTTTAAAGGCAGTGGGCATACTTACTGTACTTCACAGCTCTGAAGAATCATATGCATGCCATATGAGTACAAAACATATAGGAATGACTGGTTTGCATAGGTAAATTCTCTTAAGGAGCTGCAGTTGGGTTCTGATGTGTTCCAGCTTGAGATTAATAGGTCTTATGACACAGACAACATAAAAGTCACTGCGTACTTTAAGTAAAATATCTTGATGCTTCTGTTTGTTTACTCATTACTTTCTGAAGCCCCCAATAATGCTATTCCTTTACAATATAAATAATTAGAGTGAGCCCGTGGTAATTAAAAATAGATTCAGCAATTGAATACTGATATTTTCTTTCTCTTTACAGACACCCATGCTCTGGAGGACACATCCTTCAAAAATGAGGACTTCAATTCAAATGAACGCTCTGTACCTTCAGATGCCAGAGCTTTTATTTCTCAAAGTCAGGCTAGCCATCAGAATCATACCCCTGCTTTGCATCAATCTGTTTTTCATCAAGCATCTGAATTCTTGAACCATATGGATAAACATGTAGACAGCACTGAATTTCATACAGTTTTCCCTGAGTCACAAAGGGCAGACAATCCCAAGACTTTAGACCCCTTGCCAAGGCAGAAAGTAATTAATCCACCACCAAATACATCATCTACTGTTCAAATTGGAAACCCTTCTGCTTTGTTCCCCACCACTAAGTCTAATGTTCCCAGTCCCAGCAGTACTACTGTTACTCCTCTGCCTACAAGTACTGTCAGACTGAAATCTCATACAACTTCTTTGTTTACAGGTGGTGCCAAAGCTGGTACTGTCACTAGGACAACAACCTTTATGCTTACTGCAATTGCTAGAGCTGAACCTGGTATCCCTACTGCCAAGATTGCTGCTACTCATGTTTTTCTTTCCAGTCCCACAACTTCTGCTTCTACTTCTACAGCCAAATGGGTGACCTCAAATCCTGTAACAGCCACCAGCTCAGCAGGGCTCAGAACTTCATCCATACCTCCTGAGCCAACAGCTGTCTCTGCCAGTTATACCAGTCATGTTACCCTTGTCTCTTTTTCAAGTTTTGCTCTCTCTACTAGTGCTTCCCCCGTGGCTTCCCAAAACAACCATCAGGGTTATGACCCATCTGATTCGGAAGACCACCTCTCAGAGTACGTTCAGAGAAGAAAAGGCTTTGTTCAGCTGGAAGACAAAAGCAGACTTGTAGTGGCTTTACTTTTTGGGGTGATATTCTTGCTCTTAGTTATTGCACTCACAGGGAAGAAAATGCATGAATCTCTTCAGAAGAGACAATATACCAGGTTGGATTATTTGATCAATGGAATGTATGCTGATGTATGATGGAGCATAGGGAATAGATTGTTAGGAGCATTTATCATCTTTGTGAGAACTACTCTGAAAGTGAAGAGTGAATATGAAATCTCAGACGAGGATGCATTCCTTTTTTGGTCACCAGTGGCCACATGGTTTTGGTGGGGAAGAGAACTGCTGTTTCAGACTGAATTATAATGCCTATCATTTGAGTTAGTATCAAATCCTAAGTGCAGACACTCAAGCTAAGCAAAGAAGTTCTCGTATTTAAGGAGAAAAATAATTTCAAGAGTATGGTCTGTGACTAGATTAGCAGAATAGAATTTGACCTAATTAATTGTGCAGCACATGAGCACTTTCAATGTTTTTTGCCTCCAAGTACATCAGTATTACACAAGTCTGGCATCATGTAAGTGTATATGGCATCCTGTATACTCTATCTGAGCCTTAAGTGAGTATTGGGTAGTAGTATATAGCATCCAAATGGTTTTAGGTACAAGGAGTAAACTGTTGTATTCAAAATGTGTTTGGCTTAACTTTCCTTAGCTACATTGTGTTCATTGATATTTATCTTGAATGCTTCCATGTGCATAAATCATAAGCTATACTTAAAACCACCTGCTGCAAATTTTAGTTTGCCTTTTGTGAAGAGAGCACCACCCTCTAGCAGGATTCTTTGCAGGATATGTCAAATAGTTTTTATCATATTTAGTTAAAAAAAGCTGGAATCTTTTTTTTTTTTTTTTTTTTTCCATGTCAAATAGCACAAGCAAGCAACTTGGTGTATACCAGAGAATCTGTTCTACTATACCTCAACCTATTATAGTTGAAACTTAACAATTAATTGTAGAGCAGATGGAAACTTGTGAAGGAACTGAGCAAAGACAACAGCTGTATTATCAGCAGAGGACACAGAAAAAGTATGGTTTCTAGTTCCTGAATATCTAGACAGATTGAAGGGAATTAAGAAAGTATTAAATAACATTGATGGATGTGTTGTGCAAGAGTCCCAAACTCAGAGATATTTCCTGCAGTCAGAGAAGCATTACCTTAAACAACTTTGCATTATCTTTCTGCTTCTAGCATTCTTTTATTTCCCTCACCAGTCTAGTGGCTCTTAAAAGCACTGCTTGCAACAGGGCTAGAGATGATAGGAGCACACACAGAATCACAGGACCTCAAGAGATCATTGAGTCCAATCCTCCTGCTTAAACAGGTTCCCTACAGTAGAACACACAGGTAGGCATCCACATGTGTCTTGAATATCTCTGTAGAAGGACAGTCCACAAACTCTGGGCAACTTATTCCGATCCATCACCCTTATTGTCAAGAAGTTCTGTATGTTTGCATGGTACTTCCTAAATACAAGATTTAGGCCATTTCTCCTTGTCCTACCACTACACATCACAGGGAAGATCCTGTCCTCATCCATTTGCCTCCCAACTCCCTTTAGACCTTTATGAACATTAATCAGAGCTCTAGAACTCTGGGTAGAACTCTACATGTTCTCAAAGCACATCTTTTTTACTTCTGGCATCATGTTCATATGACCGGTAGTAAGCACGGCTTCTCTGTATGTTTCCCTGCCTCTGGAATAAGAGGCAAATGAGAGTGCCTGTAAGCATCCAGTGTTTGAACCTCCAGTTCAAACTCACTTTTTTTCCACACCATGATCAGTCTTAATCTGTTTTCAGAATGAAACCCTAGATATTATCTGTGGGAGGCAGCATAATCAACTACAAACATCAAGATAGAGAAGGAAAGGTGCCTTAAGAATAGGAACAAATAATTATATTACAAAATATGCTAAGTAACCCACGTCCACGAGGTTCTTAGATCTGTCAAGTTTACTGCAGCAGGAAGCAGTCATGATCTAAAAATGGCCTCAAGGCAAGTTTTTTGGGAGCTCTAACAATAACTTTATGCAGAAAATTCTCTGAAAATTACATTATTCAATGATCAAAGACATGTCAGTGTTCCTTATGTCAAGAAGTTGAACTCTTGCTGTATGGAGGCTGCAAGTTACTTTATAGATACAAAAACATTTGTTTTTTCTACATTACTTCTGTCTGACAATGCTTACATAAAAAACACTCTGGATAATATCTTAGAATTGAATAAATTTGCAGAAGTATCTCAAGTTGATTAGCTGGTCTGTTGACTGCACTTCATTTATCCTTTGCTTTTTTTTTATTTTTATTTTTTTTTTTAATCAGCTAGTTTCAAAGTTTTGTGGTCAAGGAATTTGATAAAGATGGAAAATATTTCTGGGAAGCAAGTTAAGGAAATTGCAAGTACTGGGTCTGGTACATGTAAAATGCAGGTCTGAATCTGAGATTATAGTTTTATCTAAAGATTTACAGCTTAGTGAGAAGCCTTCTACATTGTCTATGCCATCGTAGCAACTTACTACAGGAGAGGTATTGAAAAGAGCTCCTGAATCATCGCTGTGCATTTCTAGCATAATAAAAATTTTGTTGGAGGTAGAGATTGTTGATAGTAATTCAGGCAGTACAGTGCAGTGGACACAGATTCGAGGGAAGGAGGGCAGACAGACTGTAGGGTCATTCAGAGCATGGGGCATGTATTTGGTTAACATCACTGGTAACGTTGCCTTCTAACCAAAACAGCCAACACAATATCATACACTATGAGTGGCAGAAGTAAACCAGTGAGTTGCATGTGTATCATGACTAACTCGGTAAGAAAGCTGAGCTGAGTGGTCTTTTAGTAACTTTAAATGTTAATGCATACATCAAAAGTAAGTATAGAATCAGAATCGTTTGAGTTGGAAGGACCCTTAGAGATCACCTGATTCCAACCTCTCTGCCATAGGCGGGGATATTTTGTGCTACACCGGGTTGGTCAAAGCCCCATCCAGCCAGACCTTGAACACTTCCAGGAATAGAGCATCAACAGCTTCCCTTAGCATTGCACATAGGGATATATATTTTCTCATTCATTTGCATTCTTGGAGCAAATGGGATTACTAGGTGACCTGCGGGGAACATTCTGTAGGGGAACGTGGGCTATGTTTGAACACTAGAGGGCAACAACGGTTTACTAAATCGACAAATGCAAGGAAGTCAATTTAAAAATGTTTTATTTTGCTTGGTTTTTAACTTTCTGTGGCTATTTCACTACAAAATACATTCTATGACAAAAATGTTTTGTTTATTGGAAGGCTTTAGTGGAAGATTATACACATACACTTCTTAAGCTTCTTACTTAAGCTTCTTAGTATATTGTATAGCAATAATGAGGCACCATAGAAGACAACAAAATATTAAGCATATAATCATATACATTTTAATAATATTAAATTGAATTGTATTTTTTAGTCACATATAGGCATGGTCAGTGAAAAGAACAGGAGAAAGAGATTTCCTATAATCATTCTTTCAGCAGTGATGCCTAATTAAGCACATCTTATGAACATACTTAGTCATCTGATAATAGTGTTGCAATATGAAAGAGAAAGGATAGAATAATTGCAAAAAAAAAAAAAAAAATTGCACCTAGTATGTTATGCTTTTTGGCAATGCTTATCTAAAAGTCCTGTACACTGACAGCTCTTATATGGTCTTAAATGTGCACCATGCTCCCTGATGTAAAGTGATCAAACAGCAACAAACTTTTGCACGTTGTTCAGGAACTAAACAGATATGCTCTTCCTGCTAGTAGGCAAAAAAGAAATAAATATCTTTCCACCCGGAAATAAATAGTAGTGTCTTAAGACATGAAAATAAAACTGAAATCATATGGTTTGATCATCAGCCAGTGTTATCTGATGACAGCATTGAAATCTCTCTTTCCAAATACAACCATATATGTGAGGGCACAAGGCCAAAAGCTGATTGACTTTAATCTCCTGGAGAGTGTAATAAATTCCATAGCTACTTGTTTCACGTAGTTCCTTCACAGTACTGAGCAAACAAAAAGTGTGTAAATGCAGACTGTCATGAAGAAAACTCTTCTGTGGAATTATACATTCAGGCAAATGGCTAGTGCAAATTTTACTACCCCTGCTAACAATCATAAATGAATAACAAACAATTGAAGACTTATTTGAGATGTGTGAGAAAAGCACATTGTTGCTACAATAAGTGCCTGCAAACCCTTTACGGCATGTCCTCCATAAGGGTCTGGAAACCCATTATGGCCTGTTCTCTTCAAAAGAATGCTTCAGTTCATTGTAATTACTGTAGGAGGAGATGTTTATGCTTAGATTTTTTTTTTATTTTTTTTTTAGTAAATTAGCAACTCACAACCCAGTAGTAGCTAGCCAACCACATAAAGTGCGTTTGAATCTGATGACATCATTAGATATTGGCTTGCACCCATCAGTCCACCCTTCATGATGACAAAAATACTGAGTTTAAAGTGCTATTACTGCTGTCAACAGTTTCCACCTAGAACCTCTTATAGAGGAGCTATACTTCGTGCTTTGGCACGCAGTGAAAATTGGCCTAGACTGCTGAGCATTTCCTATGCATTACTCATTCTCATACAGGTAATATAATTCCTTACATCTCTGATCATAGATAGTTACAAGGCAGTTATACCTCTTCATCTTTTGTAAGTCTTACAAGTTCTTTGAAGAGTGTACATGACATTCCCTTTATGGATAGGTCCCCTGACGTATTTGGATATATGAAAATTGTTGTTCATCTTCAGGAAATCTACACACTCTGAATCTCAACATTTAAATCTGCTTTTTTATTTTTCCTTTATTTTTCCTTTTTTCCTAGTCTTTCAGGTGACAGAACACTGGCACAGATAGTGGAATCTCATCCTTGGAGATCTTCAGAAGCTGCCTGGACATAGGCCTGAGCACCTTCTTCTGGATGACACTGCTTGTGCAGGGGTGGAACCAAATGGATCCAGACATCTTGCCAATCTCAGTGATTCAGAGATTCTGTGATAAAAGAGAAAAGCATAGAACTTCTGCTCTTAAGATCAGATCCCCTGGGAAGCTGTCCTTAGGGATAAAGGAAGGAACAGAGCTGGCATTTCTTTAAGTACGTCTTTCTGAGAGCAAAAGAGTTTTCTATCCCACAGCATAAGAAATCAAGCAGAGGAGGCAGGAAACCTGGCTGAGCAAGGACCTGCTGGTCAAACTGAGGGATAAGAAGGAAAAGTCTATGCATGGAAGTGAGTGGCTTGAGAAGAATACAGGTATCTGGATGTGCAGAGATGGGACCAGGAAAACCAAAGCATAGATAGAGCTGAACTTGATAAGGGTGTGAAAAATACTAATAAGGGACATTGGCCAGAAGAGAAAGGCCAAGGAGATTGTACCCCCCCTGAGAAATGAGAAGGTAAAAATGGTAACAACAGACATGGAGAGGGTTGAAGTGCTCAATAAGTTCTTTGCTTTGGTGTTCACTGGCTGTCAGGCTCTCCAGGTCTCTTTCACCCCTGATCCTTTAGTAGGAGGTAGAAGGAGCAAATCCTCTCTCACTGTAAGCAGAGAATAAGTTTGAGATCATAATTAATGGAGTGATAGTTTTTGTAACAGGCCTGAGTTTGGACTCAGTCATGATTTTACTGTTTTTTGTTGTTTTTTTTTTTTTTTTTTTTGCACAAAAGCTACCAGAGGCAGCTTAAACTTCATAAAGAAGTAGCCTGTTTATGAGGATTGCATTTTGCAGGAGCAGTTTGGTACCTGCCACATCAGAGAAGCAGCTGAGTTTCATAGAGTTTCCAGCTGAACATTCAAAAGTCACAGGGAGCATCGCCACATTTGCTCTGTGTGCCCTACTTAAACTGAGAGAATTATGTTATTAGCAGTGGTTAGGGTTCGAAACTGTGACTTTTACAGCTCTTCTCAACAACAAATCAAAAATTTGCATGAAGTTCAAACATTCATTCTTATAAATTCTTATATGGAAGATGGTAGAGAAACACAACACAGACTTCCAATGAGCTTGCCTGCTGTTTATTTAGTTTTTTCAGTTCTTCTGTTTGGTTCTATGAATGAGCTTTTTTTTTTTTTTCCTATCCCTAAATCCAAATTCTAGTGACAGTTCTGAATTTTTCCCACGTAGTCCAGTAAGTTATGAATGAGATGATCTTTGTCCTTCAGTGGCCACACTTTGCACATGCAGTTCCCATTTATACCAGCGTGAGGTCCTCCTGCACATGGTTTATGGCTGTCGGTCAAGTCCTCACACTTAGTGGCTTATATCTTTTCAAAACAATTGCCTTGTAGGGTGACATGACTTTTCAGCCCAGAGGTAAAATTTATGATAGAATCTGAAGACAATTTTCCCAGCTGCTTCTGATTATTCAACTATGACAATGTTTTCCTTGTTTTGTTCCAGTGCATGAAATAAGGAGTTCAAATGTTTCTCCATCATCTGATATCTCAGGCACAGTTTCCAGAAAGAATCCAGTTCTGGCACACGCTACTGATGTCTTTACAGAACCAGAACACTGTTTTAGAAAAGCCAAAAATAATTTATTTGGGAGGTATAGCTTTAAACAAGTGAGAACAGCTCACACTATCCTGATTGCTACTAAACTTAACAAGATACACATGTGGCTTTCCTACATAAAACAAGGGTATGCCTCAAGTGAACTCTGTAATGGGTGGTGTGTTTTGAAAAGTGACAGGTTTGAACACTGAAGTTTATGCATGTGTTTTGCCTGGGAGAGAATGTAAACTTTTCCAGATATCTGTTGGAAACTTCATTTCAAGGGTAAGTTTGGGGGCAGGTCAAGTGTCACAGTGTTTTTGGGGCAGCCCAAATCAGGTAGCACTAGGGACAACAGTAATACTTCTCCAATGGCTACCCTATTATTTGGTAACTGGAGTGATTTCCAGGAGCCCTTTCTGCATTACGTTTTTTTTATCACTCTTCATGTTATTGATAACAGTGTGCATGCTACAAGCAGTTCAAGTACAGCTTCCTTACTCACGTTTAGAATGTCTCCTGAGTCTCCGGGATATCAGGCATTTGAAACATAGGTTATTATAAGGAACAAATGAGACTGAACTAAAATGGGTAGATGTGGCAGCTGTGGTCTATGACCATGCACAACAGCAGATTACCATGCATCAGCTGGCAGGTGGCTATTGTCCCCAAGTGAGACACCAGTTCTTGTGCTTGTTCTCGTGTGTGCTGACATCTATATTACAT